AGAGTGGAGTATACTTGCAACACGATGACTTTGCAGAGGACAAAGAAGGAGAAGAGCGAGGTTTCGAAGATCTGGAAGATATTTACAAGCTTTCCTATGAGGAGACTAATAGGCGCTACTGACCTTCTTAGTCAAGCTGGTCTATTACGTCGTGTCTGCGGCAGATACCCTTATCTTCGCATGTCACCCGAAATGTAGAACAGAAGCTATCAAGCTGTTTCTACTTCTAATAGGGTTATCCTCAATAGCTTCTGACTGAACTTGATGCGCCATATCAGACTCACTCTGCCTGCCGTGCTTGATTACGTCTCTACAAGCTTGATCCCAACTTAGGTCCTTCTGTCCCCATAATCCCATGGCTAGACTCAAACCAGTATTGTAGCACGAACAAAGGGTGCTTCTGCCCGCGTTCCTCGATGTCCTCTTTCAAGAATTTGACATCAATGCTCATGCCGAGCTGGTTTCACCTCCATTCCAAATTAGCTGAGAATGACCCAAATCTCCTTGAGTGTTACGCCGTGACGAAGCTTACATGGGCGCACTGGATGCCGGAAGTACTTCCAACATTTGCACGAAAATATAGTCGAGAATTTCGGACGCAATAGTATCCACATCAGCTATTGGAATCTAGTTGTTCGCATCCTCCTCACTGAATGCTCCTAATTGGACACAAGACTTGACCAGCCGCCACAACGCGTCATTTGTCTGTGCACGCCCATCTATTGATGAGCCAATGATAAATCCCGGCTTGAAGGCCATGGCTCTATCGTACGGCCGAGCCTTACGACAATTGAATGGTCAATCAGTGTCTCGCATATGAACTTTGTCTGGTCGTGCGGCGGCATATTGCGCATAGTATCTAGCAGCCGTGCGTGTGTCTCATCTACCCCGGAGAGATAGCCACCGGAAACGAAGATATAAGCGGGAGGGAAACTTGTCTGAAGAATGGCGGAGAGAACATCTATTCAACTTCGCACATTGACGCCCCCCAAAGCCTGAAAGGGCTCCAGCCAGTTAACTTTCGCTCCACAGTGGACGATGTGGTAAACAACTCGACGGCGGCCATTCAAACCAAAAAGGTCTGGCCACTTGTCATCCTCTAGACCCAACCGCGGATGGAAGATGTCCCCCAGCCAGACCTGCAGGCGCTTCGTATGTACAGGTTCATCCCGAGAACGCCGCATATGGTTACGGAGTGTTGACAGGAGCTTGTCAAGCGCAGGCCTCGCACTAGATAAACGATAATGCGTGAAAGTGGATGTTCAAGCAACTAGGCCAGTATTTCTTTGCCAAGAAAGCCATTCGAGCCGGCGAGAAACGGTGCGAGATTGTGATCAATGACGCTGGAGTCTAAGACCCCTTGCCATGAAGCGATCTTTCCCACAAGATCGACACAGTTTGTTTGAACTGGATGAGCACAGGGAGAGCTTCGAGAAGCATGCAGATTGAATGTCTTTCAGACACAGGTTTGGTTACAGCAAATCTGCACTCGGGACATTGACCTTGGCATCAGACGTGAGTGTGCCCGGTAACTGGACCGCATCAACAGCGGTCCAACCGGTCTTAGTCAAGTCCGTATCGTTGTCAGAGAGTCGTGTCTAGCTTAGCCCAAATGTCCCGGTGAAAAATTCAGCCAAAATTGTCTCGACTTGTCGTCTACCATTAACATTCTCGATAGCCGAGCGGCCTCAATTTGCACTTAATCGTGGGCGCTGGTAGTAGTCCGAAGCAATTTGCATCAGAAACTGACAATCGACTTTCCCAGAAGCAGTAAGAGGCAATTTTGTGATTGGAATGATGGTAGATGGCGTCAACCCAGGGGCAGAATGTCTGCCACGGCCTTTCGTGTCGCTTGGGCTTGAGCAATATCTTTTTGGTCACTCGAAATTGCGGCAATGTCGTCCCCAGTAGGGCTGCAAGCAAGAAATGCAACGATTCGTCGTGGGTCTCGCGTAGTGTCCATCGAGTCAACGAAGGCTTTTATGCCATCAGGTGAATTATCCTGCAGCAGATACTCGATCTCTGCAGGTTCCACGCGCTGCCCATTTACTTTTATTTGGCAGTCAGCGCGGCCGTATAGGCAGATTGTCCCGTCTGGAAAGAATTATGCCAATATCGCCGGTCCGGTAAATCCTCCTGTCCATCAGGGTGGAAGAGATCCCAGACCCAAATGGGAGCCACTTGGGATACATGTGAAACGCTCGGCTGGTTTTGTCTAGCGAGTTCCAGTACCCGCGAGCAAGTTCGTGCCCTTGTAAACAGATCTCGCCAGGAATGCCGATCGGGGAAAGTTGAGTCGGGTCTTGGGGATAGACAAACCAGATACGGCCCCCAATGGCTCGACCAACCGAAGAATAAGACCTTGGATCAGGACCGAGCCGGTGCATGGTATCCCAGACAGCTGTCTCTGTTGTACCATAAGGATACAGAGGTCAAGTTTTTGATGCCAAGTGTTGTTGTAGCGATTTTGGGACCCTTTTCCCCCGTAGTGCTAAAGTCTGAGGACAGGGAGCGAGATCAAAATCCAATGTCTTAGCCACTGCCGGAGTCAGGAGAATGTGGCTGGCGCCAAACTCGAGAATATTGTTCACAGGGAGGCTAGCCTATCACGGCTAGGGGCAACAAAGACTTGCAGCAGGCTTGCGTATCAGGCATTGGTGACCTCTTCAAAATCAAGGGCCCACTGCAGGATCTGGGTCGTTTCGGTTTTTCGGGACGACGTCAGCCGAACCACTGAAAAGAATGAGAATCTACAAGGCATATCAGGCTGATCAAGGGGGGAAAGCATACACGGAGGAGATATATAGCAGCAACAGCGGTGGAGCCTCAAGGGCAATATAAGTTCATTGACACTCGTTAGAGCCTATTGCCCACAGAATCAGGATTTTCTTGTAGGTATGACTCCAAGTTGCTTTCATGTTCCATAGCCTCCACTAAACCGCGCCGGTCCCATAGACTGCCCCTTAGACTGAATAGTAATTGAGCGTTGACTGAGAATTTGCCCGAGTTCGGGGACTAATTCCTCACTCCAAGCTCCTGTAACCTGCTAAGACTCCTCGCCAGCCTCCGCCTCGCTAGCGTCGTATGCGTGGTTTTTCGTCGATACAAGGAGTTGAACGCCCTAGTTTCCGACTTTGATCTTTGCGAGATGATGTGTCGGGCGTGTTGTGGCAAGCTCTGATGCATCTGCTGGAACTGGAGAGTGGGGGTATTGGGAGTCGGCTGCTGGTTCCATGGTCGGATTGAACGGATCGGTAGGATAATATGCGGTCGGAACTCAGATGCTGATCAACGCGACTGTAGAAGGGTTGAAATTCCAAGTTGAACTGCCTCAGGCATACCCACAGAGTAACTCCTGACTAATCAAGCTTAAGACTCGATCAAGATGAAGCAATGGCGAAGTAGGAAATCACGGATCAACGCTGATCTGCCAAGTTTCGGCTGTTCGTCGGACCCCGTTATCAGACGAAAGTCACTTAAACGACCATAGAAGACAATCAAATCAAATCAAATCATCAACATCACTTCGATGCATTACTATTCTTCCAATTCAATACCATAGGCAACCACAATAAAAAGGAGGTCCTATCGACCTTCAGGCCTTACAAACTGGGCATTATTCATATATCATAGAATTGCTGGCATGGCGGGCATTGCTCAACGTTGTGTTTGTTATTGGGAGATTATCCTGTAGCTAATAGTACCGCGTCCCCCAATCTAATGTCGCTCATAGTTAATCGATCAGAAGCCTCCCGCATCAGCAGCTCTGTCCCCCACCATTGCTCCTGCGAACAATGCGTTATTAGTCATGAGCAGAGTTTCAACTAGCTAAGTAAACTAAGTTATTCAGGATATTTATCTTTCTGCTGAATTATACTTCTACTTGAACCCCCTAACTAAATCAGGTAGATATTATAAAGTTATATCTCTTGGTTATATAATCTTATAGTATATAACGCTTTAAAGTAGATAGAATACTACTAAAGCTACTATATAAAACTAAGTACTATCTATAAGGAGTAATTAATAAGTAATTAAAAAGTAATTTAATCTCCTAAGCCTTAATCGCTTAAATAATATAAGCAGACTGATAATTAACTTCAGACTCTATTAAAGTATCTAATATATTCTATCTAAAAATCTTAAACTTTACCCAGATAATAAGTTAATCTAACTAATAGTTAGCTTAAGCTCTATAAAAGATAGCTAATATCTTATTATAACTACTAAAGTAGACTATAGTAATCCAGTCTTATTTATATTATCTAGTATAAGCTATATAGTTAGGAATATAATTATAGATATAGATAGATATTAATTTATTATTTCTATAACTAGTAAATAAGTTAAAGTAGATAGTTTGGTTTCTAGTATAAGAGCAGTATAGTTTATAGAGTCTATTTCGACTAAATCTTTATAGTTATACTTTCGGATATAACCTAGAAGGCTGTAACTATAGCCTTATAATTTATTATATTTTGCCTATATTATAATAATAAGCACAGTATATCTGTTATTCTACAGTATATAACGGAAGCCTGGAGGCCGGAGTTTTTGTAAGTATGAAATCTGGGCTATAGTGATTGCTGAATTGCGACTGGGGGCTCGCCGGTGGAGCTTTATTTCCTGATGGTGTTGCCGAACGTTGTTTCTCCTGGCGGCCTCTTTATATATTCCGAGTGCGCTGTTGGTTCAGCGTGAACTTTTGGTGAGTCTGTTTAATCGCTTGACAGCTAACCACATGGAGAGCGTAGCTCTAGTTACAACAAAGCCTATTCTCAACAGGTTCAATTATCTCTATCGGACGTCGTAGGTATTGATTTTGCAATATAACCCCTATCCGTTCCTCGAATAGATGAGAGAAGTAACGCTACAGCTACAGTCTCCAAATCAACGCATCGAGGTGGTTCTGGGGCTGCCCAATAACCCTGAAGTACAGCATCAGTTCTCATCCCACAATATCCGAAGCATAGTCTCCCGATGCTCCCCATGGAAATCCTCTACCACCCCTTCACCGACTTCACCATGACGGTCTTTGTAGGGTCGGGCATAACCTAAGTCTCATTGTCAGCCCCGTTCATGATTTACCAGCAGGCACAAAAACTCACATTATTGTCAAAGGTAATGTTCGCATGTCTTCCCTGCCCCTCGGGATTTTTGATATCGAAGTGGAGCAACAGCTCCGACAGCAGCATCTTCATCTCGGCATCCGCTAGAAACCTTCCCGGACACGCGTGCCTGCCGTAACCCCATCGGAGATCGGTCTTACCGGTGCTGATGTACTGATGCTTCATTGCCTGCGATTCTCCCTGTCGTAATTTGAAGGAACGCTGCCCGTCGAAAACTTCCGGGTTCTCGTAGAATGCCTCGTCGACATGGACGCATGCGGCTGCGATCTCCAATCGGGTACCTTTGGGAATATACAGACCTTCCGAGAGACGGAATCGCTTTGTTGCAATGCGCTGGAAAGTGGCTGAGAAAAGATTAGTACACGCGGTGGACCAGATGGAGCTGGGGTGGTCTTACTGGACACCGAGAGACACAGCCTCTGGCTTTCTCTCATCCAGCTGTCCAGCTTCTTCAGCTCGCCGAGGGACTTCTTCGTAAAGGCCCCCTCGCAGCCCGCACAGACTTGTCGGATTTCCTCTCGCAGTTCGAGAATATCCTCCGAGCGTACAGCAAGATCATACAAGAACTGGGTGAGCCCCGCCGCAGTCGTATGGATTCCAGCCACCACGAACGCCATTTGCGTATGAATCATCTCGTCCACAGTTACTTTTCTGCCGTTTATAAGATGGTCAAGCAGTGATGGTGGACTGTCTTGCTTGCCGCCGGCCTTTGCTTCGAGGGTCTTCGAAAGATGGGCGTGAGCTTTGTTCCATTGTTGAATCACCCTTGCCCTCTCAGGCAAAAAGAATTTGACAATAGGAAGTGAAAACTCGGGCCACCGCTTCAGCTTTTGAAGGTAATCGAGGATAGTCGAAACGTATGCTTGTGAAAGCTCCAGCCAGTGCTCGTCCTTGCTCCCTTCGGTGCTGTAGAACGCTCTTGCAGACATGACACTCACAATGCGAAGCATTCGTTCGAAAACATGCGTCTCGGTCCAGTCTTCATTTTGCGGAAAGGCGAGTGGCAGTTCACGTTTGATGATGTCGTGGAAAATCGACAGGTACTCTGACGAGGTAGGGTTGAGCTTCGCCTTGAAGATGTGTACAGCTGCTGCCGGGGGTCCCCCAAGGCCAGTGTGCTCAATCAATGCATGGCGACTAATTGAGTCGGCGAAATTGATCGCAGGATGGCTTTTCAACTCATCTAGGTAACGCAACGGCAAGACAAGTCGCAGCCCTTGGTTCGTGTCGACGCCCCAAATCCTGTCGCCGAATTCCCTGTAGCCTTTCTGAAGAACATTGAAGGTATTGAAGAAGTAGGCAGATTGACGTTCGAGCTTGTTTGAGATTTCTTTCTCGAGAACAAGGGGGACGCGAGGCGGTCTGTTGGTGATGTAGTGGTAGGTAATGAAGGTGATCAATAGGACGCCCAGTATCTGCCATTTCACTTGGCTGAGCAGCTGCACTAGACTTAGTGCATTTCTCGAGTAAGCATTATTTTGCAATGCTGTGAGGTCCTCAGGAATCTTCATAGCTGCAATAGAGATCCGACAAATTTGTGACCCGGCACTCCTCTTTCCGGGCATCTTTGCTATTTTGTATTTCCACAACTTTTTGTGTCATATCTAATGTCCTGAATAGGAAGAGATCTTCAGTACCCATTTTCGAAGCCCAATGATACTTCGTCAATTCGCATAACAATGGTGTGAGCGGAGGTTTCAGGTTCGTCAGGAATAGATGTCCGGATTCCGCGGGCACCGCGGGCGCGCGCGGAGAGGCTCCACGATTTATCCACGTGATACTATAAGCAATTTTTATTTTTGAATACTTTGTGATCGCAACTATAATATAAATTCATCTGAATTCCTTCTGAAGATCAAAGAGTTTATATTGAGATACAAAAGGAATTAGCCTGAATATTATACAGCTTTCCCACCCTCATATACGATCTTTGATATTCCGCGGAGGCTGATTTCGTATCTCTTTTCCTTCAGGGGACCAATTTCGGGAAATAGTAGTAGTCCGACGGGAGATCGCGGCTGCCGGAACCATCTCTAAGTGCCGCTTACTACCTCGCCTTATTAAGAAATGATCAGCGGCGGGTAGTGTGAATGCGGATCCACCATTGGCGAAATGAGAGATCAAAGTACCGTTCGGTGTGCACTGGCTTATGTCACCCGTTTGAAAGCCTACTACGCTAGGCAGCATTGGTACAAACTCCTCCTCACCTTTACAGCTCAATAAACCAGCAACTACTTATAATATCCCATTATAAAAAACACTAATATAACATTTGAACCTCCGAGAATCATTTTGTAGCTTTGATATATTATCTGATAGAATTTGACAGTTGAACTCGAAAACGCTTGTAATATATGTGTGCAATGTCTTATGTCACCCGCTTTGCTTTGCCTAACCCACCGTCGATAAGTGCAATGCACCACCTCAAGGCGTTATATTCGTTTGTATGGAGGTAGTCAATTATAACGTAATTGATGGTCTAATCGCTGGTTGCCTACATCGATTGGTTCTAAGGTTCTGGCGCCTTGCCTACCCGGCTGAAAGCACGACTCTCACGATAGTCTAGGATCCAACCATTGCCGCCTCTATCGACCAGTAATTTCAATTAATACGCCCTAAATAAGATAGCGCCTCACATGTGAACATTCGACAGTGAGACACTGATATGTGTTGTCCAAGGTCCTCGAGCTTAGCTCGAAGCTAGGGTAACCCTCAATGGCCATCATCAATGCGGCCTCGTGGGGCTGGCGAGTGCTGGTATTGGGGAGGTAGCATCGTTCGTGGATGCTGGGGTGAAAGGGCGAGTTGGTAAGCACCGATGGGGCTGCCTTTACTTGCATTAGGACCTTTTCCCCTGTTTAACCACCGCGTAGCTGTCTCTGCTGCATGATGGTTCAGATGCGAAACTCTCATCCACATGATTAAAATATCCCGCGCCTTACTTGCAAATATAGCAGTAGCGATGCTCAGCGTGTCTAGAGAGTAATAGAGAAGTTCCCGCCAGTATTGAACCTCCCGCTAAAGTACAATCCGCTAACGCAAAAAGCTCATCGGTCTGTCTGGCATTACTTCATCAAGCAAGCCGTAACACAGGCAGGGCCTGCAGTGTATATAGATAGAGTTACTGAAAAACTAGCAGAGAAGAAGTTGAACGGGCGCGAGGTAAGAGAGTTTATATATTTATAATATCCACGCGATCCGACTATTATAGATTATATAGAGATCTTATTAGGATCTGTAATAAGGATTTAATCTTAGGTATAGGGAAAAGATATTCTATAACATAGGAATAAATACTTTTTATAGATATAATTAGGAGTATAGCTAGTCTTACTCTATTATACTATATACTAAGCTAATATAAAAAGACTTAGATACTAAATAATTAAGTACTAGATTCTTATTAAGAAGTATTCAGAGATAAATATTCTAATATAATTAGATACTATATATAGTAGGACTTATAGTAATATATTATATACTAGATTAATATAATAAAGTAGAGAAATTAAAGATTTAATTATTAGAATTCTAATAAGCTATATAATAAGACTAGATACGCGTTTCAATGCTACTAAAGCTCGCTTCGAGTGTTGGGGCCTAGGTGTGGGTATCGAGCGGGGCCAACTGATGTATGCCCACTACCCAGCTTTGGACGACAAAACCCTTCTAGATGCAGTAGCCGAGTTGTTATATGTTATCAACGAGGCGATTTGCAGTCCCGCCAATGTAGCCCCCTGTCGTGTTCGGGGCGTTGGCTTGGGCAACGACGGCTCACTAGAAGGGGACTTGTATACGCTTCGTAATGTCACGTATGAGTCGAGAAGAAAAAAATTGACATGGGTGTTATGGGGGAAGGGAGAACGTACAGAGTAGGTCGAAATATTCGAAACCCTGGTCCAGCAGCTTCACAACCTGGTGCCCCCTTATATATGGTATGACTCATGGCCAGCACCGAAACTAGACATTCGTAGCACTAATGTACTCACTGAAGGTAAGGTCAGTATCACGCTATGAGGTAGGCGGTATCTAACTGGAGCTAGAGGCTGATCCAGTCCACGGAGGGCTTAATAAGATACGTTAGATTTTAAAGCGAATTGAAGAGAGTACCAGAGGTAGGAGGACCCCACGGCAGGCAGGGCCTTTAACTCTAGCTTCGCGCGTTAATATTATGTAGCTGAAACATAACGCCAAGTTCATACCTGGCTCAGTAGTTGCTCGCCTGATGAGCGCTTCTACAACTCTTTTCAGAAGAGACTCCCCGGTATATGCAAGTGGGTTCTCGATTGTACTGTATTTATTCGCTAGCTCGCCGAGTCCGCTAGCCCTAATCTCCTTTAGGTTAATAGGTACGTGGGGTTTAGAAAGATAATTCTTTATACCTATCTTGCCGACTACCTTTCTTCTACCTTAGGTATGCCTGTTACCTATTTCTTCTTTTCCTCAGATTATGCTAGCTGTGAAGACCCTTTTCTAGCCCTCTGTTTATAGGTATCTCAGATTATATTGCAGAACGATGATATATTTAAATACGTCTAGCAGAGTTGGCTTAGTAATACGGATCTTTTGGTAAATCGCGTGATAGTTATAAACCTTTTTAAGTAATTCGTATATAAAATTCCCTGATATATATTAATCGCCGACGGTCTCGATAAATGTATTCACATAAATAACGACAGCCGGTTAATTGTAAAGTTTCTTTGCGATGTTATAGATGCTGTTGCTAGGACCGGAATACGAGTGCTCTTTATTAGCTATAACGAGCTGGGTATCCGGGATATGCTGATGGATGATGTATATATAACTTTTGATGAGTATAGGATAATGCTCGAAGATGTTTAAGCAGATACTAATGCCTATGCTTATGTTATCGTTAATAGAAAGCTTTCTAATAAGAGTAATAATGTCCGATTAATACTTTCAGAAGCGATATCTGATTACTGTTAAGGTTGATTTCTCTGGCTTAAGATGTAAGAGGAATGCCTTAGAGGTGGGATGAATAAGAAACAGCTTCGGTAAGTAATTGAAAATATGCTAATTGGTTTTAATAGCCTGTACGATTAAAATTGGAAAAGGATTACTAATTTGGAAGAATAACTAAGAGACTGAGCTTTTGTCCTCCTATGCTGGGCTGTATTTTCCTTTTGACTATTAACTGTCTTTGAGATTACTGATACTGTCTTAATTCTTATATCTGGAGACCTAATAATTGATGATTTCCCTGATATAGTAGATGATAAGTATCTTAAAAGTAAAATAATCAGCCTCTGCGGCCCTCTTTTGAAGGTTATAAGTAGATCTACCGAGCCTGTTCCAGGTTGCTGAACGGTATAGCTGTTATATTCCTCTATCTGTGAGTATCTATTCCGCAAAATTTCAACCCTAAGCTGGATATGCTATGATAGTATGCTGCAGATTTCTCAAGATGAAATCGAAAATATACTACTTGCTAGGGCTTGTGTACAGTACCTTTGCTTGCTGTAAATTTGGAAGAAGATTCCAGATAACTCTCTTTCCATTGGTGTCTTATTATAAGACTATACAGCTATAACTATATATTAACATATTAACGCCGGGTTAAAAGATAATAAAGAGCTGATGAAGCTTATGATGTAATTCTTTAATAAGGGAAACCTAGTTTGGAATACTTGGTATATATTTATAGAGACGAAAACCTGAACAAATGCAGAGGCCGAATTAATACCTTCAAGCCTACTATATTATATATTGAAGATAAAGTTAAAAGATTTGGTAAAAGTACTTATTACTAACCAGAATATGAACGAGCTAAGTAGCCTGGGAAGAATACTACTTGGTATTGCTTGTGCGAACGGGTTTAATAATCTTGTTGCTCTGCTTCTTATAAGGGGTGCTGACTTCTGTACCATATATAAAAAACAGATACTACTGCTTGCTGCATTAAGTAATGGATATACCAGGGTAATTGGGCTGCTGTTGGATGCTGGGGCTGATGAGACAATCGGCGACCAATACGGACGAACCCCACTCTATATTGCATCATTGGACGGACATACGGAAGTTGTCAAGATGCTATTGGAGAAGGGCGCCGACTTTATAATCCCAAACAATGATGGTTGGACACCAGTAAATTCAGTATCATTGGACGGACATACAGAAGTTGTCCAGATGCTGCTGGAGAAAGGTGCTGATTTCGCTACCTAAGATAATGCTGGTTGGACACCATTGCATAAGGCATCATATAGGGGGCATATTGACGTTGTTGAAGTTCTGCTTAGAACTCCGCACCATAGCCAACCTGAGGTGGATGTCCTTGGTCGCACAGCCTTCTTTCTGGCTTCTCGAAGTGGACAAGTGGACGTGGTGCAATACATGCTGTCACTAAACCGCTTTGATTTTGATAGAAAGAACTACTACGGCTCCACAGCACTATCAGCTGCCGTAGCCAATGGGCACTGCAACGTCGTGGAAATTCTCCTCACAGCTGGTTTCAATGCTCAGGAACAACTTCATGTTGGACGAAGCCTGATGTGGTGGGCGTCTCGCACAGGTAAACCCCAGATGGTCAAGCTGTTGTCACACCCTACGGAGTTGTGTGAAACTTTCTCCCAGGCTGATGAAGCAGTTACAGTTTTCGATCCTGCAGCTGCCTGGTGCGATGTTTGTACATTAAACATCTCAACCAGCTCCGCCTATTATTCCTGCCCAGTGCGTTATAGTTCCGCGTTATGCAGTGACTGCCAAGAGCGAGGTTTCCAATGTCCTGATCAAGCGCATGTTTTGATCGTCAACCTTAGCAAGGTATCTTGAATGCTATCTTACGAAGTTGTTAGCTGCCATTCACGATTTACTATCTAGAAGCGTTAGAAATAAGAGAGGATTGGCATTTGCTGAGTTGGCCTCTTGGAGCCCAACAAGGTTGATGCTCGTTCACGAGGTGGAGCAAGAAGAAGTAACTGTGTCTTGGAGGAAGCAAAGTTGGCTGTGATCTTCGCTACACTCCAGAGAAACATTCTTGAAGAAAGGCATACTCTCATAATTAAGAAGTAGGTCTCAGCCTATAATGTCTTTCTCTGTATAGCTGTCTGCTGCAAATTAACATAGCTCTCCGCATGCTCTTCCTTATATGTATATAGCACTTTGCAATAAGAGAGACACATCAAACGCTTCGCGCCCAACTATAAGCCAGGCCTAAAACCTAAGATCTGATAATAGCACGTAGTACAATCTTAGCGACATGCTAAGGCATCCCAAACTGGGTGCTCCCCTGTGGATTGATCAGATATGCATCAATCAGAGCCCTTCCCATTCATCCTTGGACATTTCATCCGTTACCCGAGGAGGGGTAGGGTGTTTAACTGCGGCCAAACTTGTGCTGGCACTCTTATCCCGTGCCTCTGCATCGCTGCTCGGGGGCCAGGTGAGGTATAGGAAACGGCCGGCAGGCATTATACTGATTTCGATACTTGCAAACAGCCCCAGCGATAAGTTCACACTCTTGAGTGTTCTAAATAATCTTCTGGGGCGCCGAAAGTGTTTAGTATTTGTAAAATTTTAATATGATCAAAAACCATGTAGGCATACCACCAAACCGATCGACATGCCACCAACCCTATCAACATATAACCACACCCATAGACATTTAAACAATCTCCCAGCCATACCATCAAGCATGTCGCCATACGGTTCATCACGTAGACGTGTGTTCAAGCTTGGAATATATGATAGCAACTCTACAAATTCCGTAACAGGAACGACTAATTTCTATTTTCTTGCCTTTTCTACTACACTCTCTTGAAGCTCACGATGGCTTATGTCAATTCTTTAAAGCCGTGCGATCATGTAGAAATAGATGCTGTGACTAAGGGTCTGGAAGCTGTTCTGAATGATGTCGGACCTGATTATGATGGAGTTTAGAAGGAATTTTGCAGGCGGTGAACAATAACAATCCCGAGGGATAAAAATGCTAGACATAAGCCGGTGACAGTGGCCTTGGACATGAAGGAACGACCGATAATCATGGCCACAAGCCCTCAGGAGGGAAAAAGAAGGGGACATATAGAGCAAGTCTAGAAAGCGCCAGACAAGTTCTCGCTCGCTCTTTGCTCAAGGCTGGTTCTGTATTCGTAGATCAAGCGACTCGGCGTTCATACCCAGATCGACTACATCATATTAAATCATTGGAATTACTCTTCTATTTATATTTGATAGTTTAGTTTCTCAACCTGAGTCAATCTTCATCCCCGCTGTTATTATTGACTTCTGATTCAGTTTCCTAATATAGTTTCCATAGGAGCTCCGGATATAGCAGGGGAAAGTCTTGAATGATCACCTGAACTTGAATTTATCTCTATTGTTATAAAACCAGTCCTTAGGCGTGTAGACTGCTTATCCAGCACGATGGACTTCTCGTTGGGCACTCCTGTTCAGCTTCGATTAGAGCTTGGCCAACTTCGGGAAGAGGAAATATGGGGGAGAAGGCGGTAGTTTTTCCGAATACAAATATCTGAAAGAATACAATGGGTGAAGCGAGGCAGAGCTATGCTTCACATGGCAACTTGAATAGCTTCATTTTGAATTTTTGAATTTTTTTTGCGTTGATAAATGCGTAGTTACGATACGCGATTCAATCCTTGAAAGTGGGCGGTTGGAGGTGGGCGGTTGACTAGGGTTGCAGCTTATACGGAGAACCATCCAGAAAGTAATATCTCACGCTAAAATCCCTGTTTAGCTAAAAATAGAATAGCTATACCAAATTAATAAGGGGGTCTTCCCGGCCCTCCTTATATTTATTTCCTCCCTTAAGATAAATAACCTCTTGGATATAATAAGGGATTTATTTAATCTATATCTGAATAGTCTCTTATAGCAGCTTATCCTAAGCAGCCTTCTAAGCTGGAAGGGCTATAGCTCTAGATTTTAAAGCCCTCTTTTATATAATCTATCTCTTTATCTAAGCTTATACTAGTTTAATTATATTAAGGTCAGGGCTATTAGTATACTATAGTAGTTACTAGACCTAATAAAGATTATAAACCTATTATTAAATATAGTAGTTATAACTCAGAGCTTTATCTTCTTAAATAACTATAGCTAGCTAGACTAGCTGATATTCCTTTATAAAAGGAAGTAGCTTTAGGATTAGAATCTCTTTCTGATAGTAATACTAGTTAATCCCTCCTCCCTTACTATAGTCTAACTTACTAATCTTTTAGTTCTATCTCTATTTAGGCTTCTAATCCGGCTTTATATAAAGCTTAAGTTATTAAATTTCTAAATTTAGCTCCTAAATCTCCTTTATCCCAGGCTCTAACTCTTTATTTAAAGCTTTAATTTCTCTCTTAGCTTTCTTCTTTTAAACTATAATCTTAGGAGCCTAGTAATAGTAAGGGCTTTTATAATTATATAAAAAGCAGTCTTAAAATATAAACTCTAATAATCCCTTCTATCTCTTATAAATAATACTCTTTATAAAAGCCTTCTCCTTTATCCGCTATATATAATAGGCTCCTTAGTAATATAATAAGATAATAGATATTTTATCTAATTAAATTATATTCTTCTAATCCTTAAGGGTCTAATACTAGTAAGCTAAATACTAGTTAAGCCTTTCCTTCTTTATCTTCTTTATTAATCTAGGCTTCCTTATTAACTTTACCTTTTATAGCTTAGACTTATAGAGAACCTTCTAGATAGTTAAAGCTAAGATCTTAATTCCTTTATAGCTAAGTTTATCTATAATATTAGTATATCTTTTCTTATAGTTATAATAATTAGTATATACTTTCGAAAGGATTACTATTATAGCTTCTAATATAGCTATAAGCGGTTAGCTAGATTAAGGAGTATCTGAGAAGTAGTAGTCTTTAATTATCAGTTAGCTTATATTTAGCTCGAAGTTATACTTAATAGCTTTAGTATAGATATAGTTAATTATATAGATTAGAACCCTGGTTAAGGAAGAGATTTCCTAACTGCTAAGCTAGCTTATAGCCTTTAATACTATAATATACGCTCTCGTTGAGATATTATATATCTTAAACAGCTTTAATAGCTCCAGCTGCTCTTAAAAAAAGTAAAAAAAACTATATATCAGGGCTATCTAAGGAGGGGTTTAATTAGGTGATAAATTAGGTGATAGGGGACCCCGGTTATGATACTATTGATCTTAGTGTCTTGGCGAGACATTACTTTCTGGATGGTTCTCCGTACCTTTACCGGGATCGGCCTGTGGAGAGCTACAACTTGACCGGATTATTGATATCCTTAGGATTGACCGTTATCCATTCGGCCGGCATATCGGGATAAATGTTAACTACTTGAACCTTCCTAGAGTCGAGTTCCATTAGAGAGCGACTGTAAACAGCCAATGATGGACAGTTCGCTCAGCAAAAAGGACATATCTAGATCGGCCGAAGTCCTTGTATCCCGCATCCCCTCAGAACAGTGTTTATTGGGTTGGCCCAGTGCAGGGCCCATTTCTTCATCGTGCCTCGGACTCGCGAATGTCCGTCCCACAATTCTATGACCCCATCCCTGTAATTCGCATGCATTAACGATGACGATCTCTTCCTTTTCTATTGGCTTGCCTTAAGTGATAGGCACCGCTTCAATCAGTGGCTAATTTTTATGATTCATAACCATGCTCGTCTAGGCCATGAACCTTTGACGGAAATTATCTTCGGCAATTCTATACTGCCCACATCCAATGAACGTGATAGGATCGGGAGGCATCCATGTCCAGTGACGTGACTCCGGGAAATCGGTCATTTACGATACCGAAACTACATCGGCGCAATCGCGCCCCACACTTAAAATCAACAGTACTTGAAATAGGCTTGAATTGGCTGCCTTCATCCAAATCAAGATCATATCTTCAATGAAAGCTCCTACTCGTATCTAGGTTCTAGATTATATGATCTCCTTACCACCATGTCTCTTCGAGCCCCAATACTAGCTATCACGTCCTTAACACTGCTGCTGGTGTTTTTTATCAAAGTGAGTCTAACGGCCTGGCTATACCAAGGTAAAACGCCTTTCTCACTTAATCTCTTAAGATTATATATCAGAGTCGGGCTGGTCCATTGCGCAGTATCCCCGGTCCCTGGTACACAAACTACTCGCACTATGTCCTCAAATACGAGACTTTGATGTCTCGAAGAATGTACTATGTCCATAGTCTTCACCGGATCTATGGCCCCGTTGTACGACTCTCGCCCTGGCAAGTGGCTGTTGCAGATCCTGAGGGTTTCACCGCTATCCATCGGATTGGCTCTGGCTTCAATAAACCTAAATGGTTTGAAGCGTACATGGATAAGACAGGGGGTCTTGGAGTCAGCTTTTTCGCAATGTCTAACCCTAAAGAACACGGTTCACGGCGAAAGATGTTTGCCCGACCGTTCTCTCACTTGAATTTACGGGTCAACTGCGAGGACATCATTAGGGAAAAGGTCGACAAGGCAGTAGATCGAATCCATACTGAGGCATTAGAGGGAAACTCCGATATTCTTAAGTGGTGGATGCTGATGGCTTCAGACATCATTGGGCAGCTTTCGTTCGGCGAATCTTTCAGACTGCTCGAGGCAGGCAAAGTAGGTTACGCCAATTCATTCTAAGCTGTATTTGCTGACAGAAATTAGAAAAACCATTTTATCAAAGTTTTAGAAACCGCAGCAATGAGCATCACACTGAAGAATGAGTTCCCCCTACTTTACAGTTTTTGCCGTTATATTCCTCTTAGGTCGGTTCAGACATTTCTGAATTCAAGCAACGAGCTTTACTTCTACGGCGGACGCGCCGTCGCGAACCTTCGTCAGCACAACAGCGAGAAGACCATGTTCTCCAACATAGTCACACAGACTGAGGAATCCAAGCTAGAAAACAGAAATGGAATCGCGCTGTCGGACGATGCGATTCGAATCGAAGCTAGCGACTTCCTTCTGGCTGGGGCCGATACTACTTCCAATACCCTCACATACGTTGTGTGGAGCATTCTCCGGTGCCCTGACCTTCACCGCCGTGTCCTACAAGAGCTGGACTTGTTGGGCGACAACTTCGACGATGCAGCATTAGAACAGCTACCTCTCCTCAATGCTATCATTCAAGAGTCGCTGCGGTTGTATGGTGCTGTGCCTGGTCAATTATCGAGAGTAGTCCCACCCGGTGGGATAAGCATTGCCGGCAAGTTCATCCCGGCTGGCTTTGAAGTTGAGACGCAAGCGTATACTATGCACAGGATTTCAGATGTGTATTGCAACCCTGACCGGTAAGCACTAGAAAACAACCCTGTCCTCGCATCTCTCCATCAAATTAATGATCTTTGTTTTTTTCCTCAGGTTCGACGAAACTAGATGGCTGTATCCCGAATCTCTAACCCCTAAGCAAAAGTCGTGTTTCTGCTCATTTGGCGCTGGCACCCGCGTCTGCATAGGGATTCACTTGGCAAAAATGGAGTTACGACTCGGCACTGCTGTTTTGCTAAAGAGGTGCCAGACCTTGAAACTTGCGGATCGGACCACTGAAGACTCGATAAAGATGTGGAACTTTATACTCGCCGGGCCAATCGCCAGACGCTGCGAAGTAACGGTCGAATAATAAGGACTGGGATGGCGAATTATGGAGAACCTCGGGTGTATAACCTAGGGCTCTATAAATATCCATCGTATAATTCTTACTAATAATATATAGGGCAGTATATAGTATAGGCTCCAGGGTAATAGTATATAGTATAGAGTAGTATAATCAGATTTTCAGATAGATCTATTCTAAATACTCTCTTTAACCCCCTAACTATATCCTAATATAGATATATTATTATTAGGCTATATAAGTAGATATAGCTTTATATACTCTATATAGCCCTATAATTATAAGCTTTAGATAGATCTACTTTAAATACTTCTCTTTATAATTCTAAATTATATTTATAATCTAATCTAATATAGTAGTTAGATAATTATACTATTTAATATTTTAAATAGATTTAATCTAAATATCTCTTTTTATAATCCTAGATTATATCTATAACTAAATAATTAAAATAGATCTACTTCTAATACTTAGTTTAAATTATTACTAGATATACTATATAATATTTAATTAATATAGATCTAATCTAAATACTTAATTAGGAATCTAAATTATATTAACTTCCTAATAATTATACTAACTCCTTAATATTTTATATAAATCTATTCTAAATATCTCTTTATAATTCTAAATTATATCTACTTCTATACTATATAATATTTTAAATAGATCTAATCTAAATATATAATAACTCTAGTACTTTATTAATATATTATTATTATATAGAACTATATTATATTATTTAATTAGTATATAGTAATTTATAATTAGCTATTATATTTTTATTTATAAACTCTA